GGTCCTGACTATGCCTCAGAGAAAACACTGGGCAGTATCTGGATCTGTGTGTGTTTGGTGTGACAGTTGGAGGGGATGGATTATTGTTGGTAAGGGGGAGGCAGGTAAAGGGCAGAGATATGACTAATGCAATACACAGACAGCCCCCAGCCCAGTTTCACATATAACTACTGACATTAAGAGGCCTAATAGACAGTCATGCACCTGCTGGGATTGTTTATCAGAAAAGGGGGGGGGGCAAACCCATGTCTAAAAACTATGAAAGAATCCTCCACACAATTCATGATATGTAGTATTCATACAAAACACAGCTCTTGCTCCAAAGAGAATGAGAGAGCACTTCTCCCAAACCAGACAGCAGTGATCATAGCACAGGAACACAGAATTCAGGTCCCACTTTAGAGGGATTACATGAAGTTTTAGAATCACAGAACAAAAGAAAAAAGCCTTAAATCGATGGATTGACCAGGCACATCGATGGGAACATTAAGTGGCCAACCACAGCAGAAGCAGTAGAGGGAGAAGCCTGCTGTGGAGGTTTCTGATGCTACCTTCTAACTTGTAGATGGAGAGGTAGTAGAGGTCAGTAGTCAGGTAAAGAATACATTCTGAAAGTTTTAACTAATAGTCACACAACTGCTAGAGGAGGCGTAGATTGGCACCAAATAGCCTAAAGTGAGCCCCAGGTGCAGGTGACTCCCATCTGCAACCTTGCATTTCTCCACTGACTGACTCCACGGTGAAGCTGGGGCCAGTAAATCAGACTTCAAAACAGACACCGTTTCTCTAGAGACTTTGTCACAGTTGTCATTAAAGGAGATGAAAAGGACCCAGCAAAGATGGCCCAGCAGGGAAAGGTGCTTGCTGTGGGACACTGCAAGCCTGATGACCCAAGTTCAAGCCCTGGAACTAAATAATAAAGGTGGAATGAGGGTCAGAGAAACGACTTAGCCATTAAAGGATGGGCTCGCAACCAAAAGTAAAGGTGGACTGAAGAGAACCAGTTGTTCTCCGGCCTACACACACACACACACACACACACACCACACACATCTACACACACACCCCTACACACACAACACACCCCTACATACACACACCCCTACATACACACACACCCCTACACACACACACACCCTACACACACATACCCCTACACACACACACACACACACACACACACACACACACACA